GAATCTCGAGCGGAACGTACGTCCGCCCCACTGGACACTCTGGAGGAGTAGGGTCGGTGCGTAACGCCCGCTCGATCTCCGCATCGACCTCCCACACCACCGGTGCCACCAGACAAGACTCCGGCAGTATGGGCGTGGGCTCAATGGACCTCTCCTCTGCATCATATCGCCGGGACAGGGCGTCTGCCTTACCGTTCTGGGACCCTGGGATGTACGTGAGCTTAAACACAAACCGGGCCAGAAACATGGTCCACCTAGCCTGACGAGGGTTCCAGTCTCCTAGCTGCCCGGATGTACTCCAGGTTACGATGGTCAGTCAGAATGAGAAAAGGGTGTTGAGCCCCCTCAAGCCAATGCCTCCACACCTTTAGGGCTTGAACCACGGTGAGCAGCTCCCTGTCCCCCACGTCATAATTACGTTCCGCCGGGCTGAGCTTCTTAGAGTAAAAAGCGCAGGGCCGGAGTTTAGGGGGGGTGCCTGAGCGTTGAGACAGTACAGCCCCAATAACGGCCTCTGACGCGTCCACCTCCACCTGGAACGCTAAAGTGGGATCCGGATACGCCAGCACCGGAGCAGAGGTGAACAGGTCCTTCAGTTTACTAAACGCCCTGTCCGCCTCAGCTGACCACTGCAAACACTCCGGGCCCCCCTTCAGCAGGGAGGTGATGGGAGCTGCCACCTGTCCAAAACCCCGGATAAACCTCCGGTAGTAATTGGCAAAACCCAAAAACCGCTGCACTTCCTTAACCGTGGTTGGAGTCTGCCAATTACGCACGGCTGAAACGCGGTCAATCTCCATCTCCACCCCTGAAGCGGACAATCGATGGCCCAGGAAGGAGATGGACTCCTGGAAAAACAGACATTTCTCTGCCTTGACATACAAGTCATGCTCCAACAGCCTACACAACACTCGACGCACCAGGGCTACATGCTCGGCTCGTGTAGAAGAGTAAACTAGTATGTCGTCAATATACACTACTACACCCTGCCCATGCAAATCCCAGAAGATCTCGTCCACAAAGGATTGGAAGACTGAAGGAGCATTCATTAACCCGTATCGCATGACGAGATACTCGTAGTGACCCGAGGTGGTACTAAATGCTGTCTTCCATTCATCTCCCTCCCTAATACGCACCAAGTTGTATGCGCTCCTGAGATCCAGTTTTGTGAAGAAACGCGCTCCGTGTAATGATTCCGTCATACTCGCAATCAGAGGGAGTGGATAACTGTATTTCACAGTGATCTGATTGAGACTACGGTAATCAATACATGGGCGCAACCCTCCATCCTTGCCGTATGTATCCCTGTCTCAGAGAGCCGTATGTATCCCTGTCTCAGAGACTCGGCTATGTATGTCTCCATAGCCACCTTCTCCTCTTGAGACAGAGGATACACATGACTACGTGGAAGTGCAGCACCTGCCTGGAGGTCTATCGCACAATCCCCCTGTCTATGAGGTGGCAATCGCGTCGCCCTAGTCTTGCTGAACACTAGTGCCAAATCATCATACTCAGGAGGAATGTGCAGTGCGGGCAATTGGTTCGGACTCTCCACCGTGGTCGCCCCTACGGAAACACCTAGACATCGCCCAACACACTGGGCAGACCACTCCTTGAGAGCCCTCTGTTGCCACGAAATGGTGGGGTCATGGGCGATTAACCAAGGAAGCCCCGGCACCACGGGATACGCAGGAGAGTCGATCAGATATAACTGAATGAACTCCTCATGACCCCCCTGCGCCTTCATCTTTAGTGGCGCTGTGACCTCCCTAATCCACCCAGATCCCAACGGACGGCTATCTAAGGCATGAATCTGGAAAGGCACATCTACTGGTCGGAGGGGAATCCCTAACTTAACACAAAAATAAAATTCCCAGCTGTGCCTGAATCGACTAGCGCCTTATGCTGGGAATGAGATGCAACCTGGGGGAATACTACAGGTATACACATGTGACCAACAGAGAGCTCTGGGTGAGTTGGGCGCCTACTCACCTGAAATGACTCCCCAGTGCGTGACCTGTTACCTCGATCCCCTGGAGACCCTCCCCAGCACCGAACCGCAGTGTGTCCTCTACGGCCACAGTTGGTGCAGGGGACGGCCTCCCTCCAGATCTCTCTCCTCCTCTCTCTAGCGCCAGCACCCCCGAGCTCCATAGGGCTCGGCTCGGAGGTGCTGGGGGATGGAATGGACGGCCCCAACTCCGGACGTCCGCGGGTGGCCAGCAGGGTATCCAGATGGATTGACATGTCCACCAACTGGTCGAAGGTTAAATTGGTGTCCCTGCAGGCCAACTCTCGTCGAACGTCCTCTCGCAGGCTGCACCGATAGTGGTCGATGAGGGCCCTCTCATTCCACCCCGCATCCACCGCTAGAGTCCGGAAGTCCAGGGCGAACTCCTGTGCGCTCCTCTTCCCCTGTCGGAGGTGGAACAGACGCTCCCCCGCCGCTTTACCCTCTGGGGGATGATCGAAAACAGCCCTGAAGCGGTGGGAGAACTCCGCGTAGCTGATGGTGGCGGCATCTATTCCCCTCCATTCGGCATTGGCCCACTCCAAAGCCTTGCCGGAGAGACAAGAGATGAGGGCGGAAACGCTCTCGTATCCCGAGGGCGCCGGGTGTATGGTTGCCAGGTAGAGCTCCACCTGAAGGAGGAACCCCTGACACCCGGCTGCGGTGCCATCATATGCCCTCGGGAGCGAGAGCCGAATCCCACTGGACTCCGGAGCTGGTATGATGGGGCTGGCCGATGGTGGTGGTACGGTAGGAGGAGGTGTGGGCAAGCCTCCTCTCTCCAATCGGCGCAGGGTATTCATGACTTCTTGCATGGCGGCGCCGAGTTGCTGGATCATGGCGTCCTGGCTGCTGACCCGCTCCTCCAGTGACTCGGTCACCGCCGCTGCTGCTCCTGCTGACTCCATAGGTGGTGTGTTATTCTGTCAAGGTTCTGATGTGGATGCGGTGGTGGAGTCAAGCGCAGGACACAGAGGAATAGTCAAGACGACTTTACTCAGTACCTCTTAAGGTACACAAAAAATAACAGCCTCCAAAACACAAGAGGTGTAACAAATACACGAGTGCGTAAATCCCACAAAAGCCAAAGACACAGAACCTAAACATACAAGACAGGCGGACAATAACACACAAAATGCAAACCTAATACAGGGGAACTTATAGGAGACATAATCAAGACAGAATACGGGACAGGTGCACCAACTAGACATAACCAAACAAACATCAAAAACATCAAGCGGTAGTAGCTAGAACTCCGGGGACGACGAACGCCGAAGCCTGCCCGAGCAAGGAGGAGGAGCAGCCTCGGCAGTCTCCGTGACACACAGCAGCAAGGTCATTGATATACACTGAACACATTTTGTGCACAAATTTGTTTACATCCCTGTTACTGAGCATTTCTCCTTTGCCAACATAATCCATCCACCTTACAGGTGTGGCATATCAAGAAGCTGATTAAACAGCATGATCATTACACAGGTGCACCTTCTGCTGGGGACAATAAAAGGCCACTTTAAAATGTGCAGTTTTGTCACACAACACAATGCCACAGATTTTGAGGGAGCGTGCAATTGGCAAGCTGACAGCAGGAATGTCCACCAGAGCTGTTGCCAGAGAATTGAATGTTCATTTCTCTACCATAAGCTGCCTCCAATGTTAATAATAATAATATGCCATTTAGCAGGCGCTTTTATCCAAAGCAACTTACAGTCATGTGTGCATACATTTTACGTTGTTTAAGAGAATTTGACAGTAAGTCCAACCGGCCTCACAACCGCATACCACGTGTAACCACGCCAGCCCCCAGGACCTCCACATCCAGCTTCTTCACCTGTAGGATCGTCTGAGGTGGATGGGGAGGGGTGCTGAGGAGTATTTCTGTTTGTAATAATTAGTAATTTGCAGAATTCACAGGACAGGGATTTTTGAGAAACGTTTTATCCAACTTGTTTTTTGTTTTGCTGAGGATTTTTTGAGACCGGTTTCCAGAACCCTTCTGCTGCTCTCTTACATGGTTTAACTAAAGGAAAGCAGTGGTGAAATACAGAATTTAAAGATGTGAGAAAAGTCTGATAAGCAGACTCCACATTGGCCTGATTATTTTAAAAAATACCATGAAATACCATCAATCAACATCTTAAAGCACTCACAATTACTTTTGTTAAATATTTTACATTTAATGCTACTAATCATTCCCATCTGTTAATTTCCAGCTGCTAAAGAGAAGTGGCAAATTGGAAAGTGGTCAGAAATGTCAGTATAAAGTGTACCTGTATTAGCCACATTATTCAAAGAATTCGTAAAAATATTATCATTAAGGGTGGCAGATGAACTGGTCACTCTTGTGATGTCCGTGGTTCTCACTTTTAAATACGTTTATGTTGTAATCACCCAATAGAAAACACATTCTATCTTCATTATTAATCAAATCCAAGGTTGATGCAAGGATGCAAATGTCAGAATTTGGTGGCCGATAGTTGCACCCAATTACCACTTTTTTACCACCAAAAAATGAACAGGAGGGAATTTCTATGAAAAGAGATTCAACAGCAATGTTATCAGAAATGTTATCAGATGTAAGTGTGAGGTCCTCTCTTACAAAGAATTGAAAACGTTTATGAACAAAAATGGACACTCCTCCTCCCACTCTTGATGTTCTACAGTGGTGAATAGCATTATAAGGAGACATAAATGTCATAAAGCATGGCTGTCTCTTCAGTCAGCCATGTTTCTGAAAGGGCAACAATGGAAAATTCATGACTGAGAGAAGACAAATAATGAACAAGATGGTCATGATTTTTAGGAAATTAAAGGTAGAAAATAAGCTTGTCTTGGTGTTAGATAAACTGCTATACAGATTGTTAAATTGCTTAACGTTATCACAAGTGATAGACTCATCTCTGGTAAATATCAGGACATTTCAATCTGGATCAACACAATCATTACATTTATCGTTCGCTTCATTCAAATATCTAATGGGTTAAAGACCATGTTATCAGGGTTCAGCAGTTTCACCACTATAGATCTGGGCCGTCCATCGGGGAAGAAAGTGCCATTCCTATGCGGCCTCTCCATCTTGATGAGTTTAGGGTCCGGTTTGAGTTGATCTGCCAGGAGTTTCTTGGCCTTGACTTCTGTGTCCTCAATTCCAGCAATTATTCAAGGGCAGTCAAGTCTGAGTTCTCCTCAGACTTGACTGCCCTTGACCAGCGCAAAAACATCCTGTGGCGTACTGCATTAGCATCAAATAGCCCCTGCGATATGCAACTTTTCAGGGAAGTTAGGAACCAATATACACAAGCAGTCAGGAAAACAAAGGCTAACTTTTTCAAACAGAAATGTGCATCCTGTAGCACTAACTCCAAAAAGTTTTGGGACACTGTAAAGTCCATGGAGAATAAGAGCACTTCCTCCCAGCTGCCCACTGCACTGAGGCTAGGAAACACTATCACCACCGATAAATCTACAATAATCGAGAATTTCAACAAGCATTTTGCTATGGCTGGCCATGCTTTCCACTTGGCTACCACTACCCCGGCCACCAACTCTGCACCCTCCGCTGCAACTTGCCCATACCACCCCCCCCCCCCCCCCACTTCTCCTTCACACAAATTCAGACAGCTGATGTTCTGAAAGAGCTGCAAAATCTGGACCCCTACAAATCAGCTGGGCTAGACAATCTGGACCCTTTCTTTCTAAAACTAGCCGCCGAAATTGTCGCAACCCCTATTACTAGCCTGTTCAACCTCTCTTTCGTAACGTCTGAGATCCCCAGAGATTGGAAAGCTGCCGCGGTCATCCCCCTCTTCAAAGGGGGTGACACTCTAGATCCAAACTGTTACAGACCTATATCCATCCTGCCCTGTCTTTCGAAAGTATTTGAACGCCAAGTTAACAAACAGATCACCGACCATTTCGAATCCTACCGTACCTTCTCCGCTATGCAATCCGGTTTCCGAGCTGGTCATGGGTGCACTTCAACCACGCTCAAGGTCCTAAACGATATTATAACCGCGATCGATAATAGACAGTACTGTGCAGCCGCTCAGATGGAGTTCAATGTGTCAAATCGGAGGGCCTGTTGTCTGGACCTATGGCAGTCTCTATGTGGGTGCCACAGGGTTCAATTCTTGGGCCGACTCTTTTCTCTGTGTATATCAATGATGTTGCTCTTGCTGCTGGTGACTCTCAGATCCACCTCTACGTAGACGACACCATTTTGTATACATCTGGCCCTTCATTGGACACTGTGTTAACAAACCTCCAAACAAGCTTCAATGCCATACAACACTCCTTCAGTAGCCTCCAACTGCTCTTAAACACAAGTAAAACTAAATGCATGCTCTTCAATCGAACGCTGCTGGCACCCGCCCACCCGACTAGAATCACTACTCTCAACGGGTCTGACCTAGAGTATGTGGACAACTACAAATACCTAGGTGTCTGGTTAGACTGTAAACTCTCCTTCCAGACTCACATTAAGAATCTCCAATCCAAAGTTAAATCTAGAATCGGCTTCCTATTTCGCAAACAAAGCCTCCTTCGACAGTCTGTTTGCAGCGGTCAAACCCACTGGCGTCCAGGACATCTATAAATCCTGATAGGCAATCCACCTTATCTTAGCTCATTTGGTTCACCATACAGCACCCAACCAGTAGGTCTCAGCCTCCAGCAGGTATATCTCACAGGTCATCCCCAAAGCCAAACACCTCCCTTGGGCCCGCCATTCCTTTCCAGTTCTCTGCTGCCAATGACTGGAACGAATTGCAAAAATCTCTGAAGCTGGAGACTCTTATCTCCCTCACTAACTTAAGCATCAGTTGTCAGTAGCACCTTACGATCACTGCACCTGTACACAGCCCATCTGAAATTAGCCCACCCAACTACCTTATCCCTATATTGTTATTTATTTTGCTCTTTTGCACCCCAGTATCTCTATTTGCACATAATCTCTTGCACATCTAGCATTCCAGTGTTAATACTAATTGTAATTATTTTGCACTATAGCCTATTTATTGCCTTACCTCCATAACTTGCTACATTTGCACACACTGTATATATATTTTCTGTTGTATTTTTTGACTTTATGTTTTTTTACCCCATATGTAACTCTGTGTTGTTGTTTTTATCGCACTGCTTTGCTTTATCTTGGCCAGGTCGCAGTTGTAAATGAGAACTTGTTCTCAACTGGCTTACCTGGTTAAATAAAGGTGAAAAAAAAAAATGTATAATGTTATTGCGCCTTGATTGGTTTTCGAGGTAGCATCCTTTGGAAAAGTGCTTGTCAAGTGTTGTTTGGAAAATTGAGAAATCCTCAAACATCGTTTTGAATGCAGTCTGGCTGGTGACATTCACGCCCTTTAGCTCCTCCACCTCCGACTGCGTAAATTCCAAACTGTGTTTAAATTCCATTACATCCTTAAACAGATCATCAACCCTTTTGTTGGTAGAATCCATAAAGAGTTGCAGGAAGGACTTAAAGTTATTTTCCTGCAGGTCAATTCGATCTCTATGGAATTATTTTTGTTGATCGAGTAGTTCATGGAGTGTAGTGCTTAATACGTATTCCTCTTCTGCATTGAGTTTTGCGGTCATTTCTTGTCTAGTATTAGCCATGCTACAAGCTTGTTGTGAGCTAAAATTAGTTTGCGAACACAACCCACACTCTGCCTCCCAAAAACAAGCTAAGCCAGTGAAATGGCAAACACACACAAGCAACACACACTTGATCACACATCCACCAGTACGATAAACAGAGAGAAAGTGGAGAACTTGCTCATTGTATGGATCCTGGCTGCACTTTACTTTACCAACTCGCAAGTTAGTGCTGTGGATACAAGCAGTATGTGGGGCAGTAAGCCAAAACACCGGTCAAAGATGCTTGGGAGAGACAGTGGTAGGAGCATTCGCTTACTCATGGAACGAGCAGTGTCAACGATGTCTGCGTGAACGTTGTCAGAGTCCTTCCGGGTGAAGAGTAGTTTATTAATCCTCTCTCTCTCTCTCTCTCTCTCTCTCTCTCTCTCTCTCTCTCTCTCTCTCTCTCTCTCTCTCTCTCTCTCTCTCTCCCCCATCTCTCCCCCTCTCTCTGTAGGTTGCAGATCGCCCAGGAGGAGCATCGTAGTGTGGAGGTTGAGAAGGTAACGTTGGAGCAACGTCTGAGGGACGAGATCAACGAAGCCAAGCAAGAGGCCCAGAGACTCGGTAAGCTACGGGAGGGAACAGAGAACGAGTGGAGCAGGCAGAAATACGCTGAGGAAGAGTTGGATCAGGTACACACACTGCATACACACATACAGCACACCTGTACATACACACACCTGTTTATACACATACACCTCCACATACTGTACATACGCTGCATACACACACACACACACACACACACACACACACAAACTGCATACACACACACACATAAATAAATACAGCGCATTCGGAAAGTATTCAGACCCCTTGACTTTTTCTACATTTTGTTACATTACAGACTTATTCTAAAATGGATTAAATTGTTTTTTTCCCTCATCAATCTACACACAATACCCCATAATGACAAAGCAAAAACAGGTCTCAAATATCACATTTACATAAGTATTCAGACCCTTTACTCAGTACTTTCTTGAAGCACATTTGGCAGCGATTACAGCCTCAAGTATTCTTGGGTATAACGCTACAAGCTTGCCACACCTGTATTTGGGGAGTTTCTCCCTTTCTTCTCTGCAGATCCTCTCAAGCTCTGTCAGGTTGGATGGGGAGCGTCGCTGAACAGCTATTTCCAGGTCTCTCCAGAGATGTTCGATCGGGTTAAAGACCGTGCTCTGGCTGGGCCACTCAAGCACATTCAAAGACTAGTCATGGCTTTGTGCTTAGGGTCGTTGTCCTGTTGGAAGGTGAACCTTCGCCCCAGTCTGAGGTCCTGAGCGCTCTGGAGCAGGTTTTCATCAAGGATCTCTCTGTACTTTGCTCCGTTCATCTTTCCCTCGATCCTGTCAAGTCTCCCAGTCCCTGCCGTAGGGATGGTGCCAGGTTTCCTCCTGATGCTTGGCATTCAGGCCAAAGAGTTCAATCTTGGTTTCATCAGACCAGAGAATCTTGTTTCTCATGGTCTGAGATTCTTTAGGTGCCTTTTGGCAAACTCCAAGCGGTCTGTCAGAATGACCATTGGGTTCTTGGTAACCTCCCTGACCAAGGCCCTTCTCCCCCATGATTGCTCAGATTGGTCGGGCGGCCAGCTCTAGGTACACTCACACCATAGAAATATATAGAGGTCTCATCTTTGTATCTGTGCCATTATGTCTAGGGCTGTTACGGTGACCGTATTAGCGCCACACCGGCGGTCATGAGTTATGACGGCAGTCAAATTCCACGTGACCGTTTAGTCACGGTAATTAGGATTCTCCAAGCTCTGATGATACTGATGGTCAATAGTAGCCTACCAAACTTGCTAATTGCCTGGTACTAAGAACTCTATTGTCCCTCTAATCACTCTGACATCAATGCAAATGTTTCGAAAATCGAATCAAACACATTTCTATAGGCTATGCAAATGCGTAAGAAAACAGAGTGAAAATGAACCACGGGAAAAGCGTCCTCCGTTCGCTATTTAAGTACTTAGATGACATGTATTTTTTTACCCCGCTCTGTTTCGAGACAGGTGCATGATAATGCTCCATTCTAAATCAGAACAAATTTCACACATATATTATGTCAAAGGTTTGGACATACCTACTCATTCCAGGGTTTTTATTTATTTTTACTATTTTCTACATTTCTACACATTTGGAATCATGTAGTAACCAAAGAAGTGTTAAACAAATAAAAATATATTTTATATTTGAGATTCTTGAAATAGCCACCCTTTGCCTTGACAGCTTTGCACACTCTTGGCATTCTCTCAACCAGCTTCACCTGGAATGCTTTTCCAACAGTCTTTAAGGAGTTCCCACATATGCTGAGTACTTGTTGGCTGCTTTTCCTTCACTCTGCCGTCCCACTCATCCCAAACCATCTCTATTTGGTTGAGGTCAGGGGATTGTAGAGGCCAGGTCATCTGACGCAGCACTCCATCACTCTCCTTCTTGGTAAAATAGCCCTTACACAGCCTGGAGGTGGGTTGGGTCATTGTCCTGTTGAAAAACAAATGATAGTCCCACTAAGCCCAAACCAGATGGGATGGCATATCGCTGCAGAATGCTGTGGTAGCCATGCTAGCTAAGTGTGCCTTGAATTCTAAATAAATCACAGGCAGTGTCCCAGCAAGACACCCCCACACCATAACACCTCCTCCTCCATGCTTTACGGTGGTAACTACACATGCAGAGATAATCCGCTCACCCACAACGCGTCTCACAGAGCCACGACGGTTGGAACCAAAAATCTCCAATTTGGACTCCAGACCAAGGGACAAATTTCCACCGGTCTAAAGTCCATTGCTCGTGTTCTTGGCCCAAGCAGGTCTCTTCTTCTTATTGGTGTCCTTTAGTAGTGGTTTCTTTGCAGCAATTTGACCATGAAGGCCTGATTCACACAGTCCCCTCTGAACAGTTGATGTTGAGATGTGTCTGTGATTGAACTTTGTGAAGCATTTATTTGGGCTGCAATTTCTGAGGCTGGTAACTCTAATGAACTTATCCTCTACAGCAGAGGTAACACTGGGTCATCCATTCCTGTGGCGGTCCTCATGAGAGTCAGTTTCATCATAGCACTTGAAGTTTTTTTGCGACTGCACTTGAAGAAACTTTGAAAGTTCTTGAAATGTTCAGTATTGACTGACCTTCATGTCTTAAAGTAATGATGGACTGTCATTTCTCTTTGCTTATTTGAGCTGTTCTTGCCATAATATGGACTTTGTCTTTTACCAAATAGGGCTATCTTCTGTGTATTAATTATTTATTTACTAACTCATTAAAAATGATAACACAAGATACAAACACGTACACGGTATAGGTAGGGATTAGAAACTTAATACAATGAAAACGGGTCCCTAGCGGACTAACACAATATGACACTTGTTACAAAAGATGGCAAGTTAAAGAGAGAGAGAGAGGGAGAGAGAAAACACTTGGATACACATGGACCTACGCTCACACTAATCCTAATACTTTGCCCCAAACTGCCGCCCGTTTGGGAAGAAAAGCTATGCATATACAGTGGTTTGCGAAAGTATTCACCCCCCTTGGCATTTTTCCTTTTTTGTTGCCTTACAACCTGGAATTAAAATTGATTTTTTTTTTTTTTTATCATTTGATTTACATAACATGCCTACCACTTTGAAGATGCAAAATATTTGTATTGTGAAACAAACAAGAAATAAGACAAATAACAGAAAACTTGAGTGTGCATAACTATCCCCCCCCCCCCAAAGTCAATACTTTGTAGAGCCACCTTTTGCAGCAATTAGAGCTGCAAGTCTCTTGGGGTATGTCTCTATAAGCTTGGCACATCTAGCCACTGGGATTTTTGACCATTATTCAAGGCAAAACTGCTCCAGCTCCTTCAAGTTGGATGGGTTCCGCTGGTGTACAGCAATCTTTAAGTCATACCACAGATTCTCAGTTGGATTGAGGTCTGGGCTTTGACGAGGCCATTCCAAGAAATTTAAATGTTTCCCCTTAAACCACTCGAGTGTTGCTTTAGCAGTATGCTTAGGGTCATTGTCCTGCTGGAAGGTGAACCTCCGTCCCAGTCTCAAATCTCTGGAAGACTGAAACAGGTTTCCCTCAAGAATGTCCCTGTATTTAGCGCCATCCATCATTCCTTCAATTCTGACCAGTTTCCCAGTCTCTGCCGATGAAAAACATCCCCACAGCATGATGGTGTTCTCAGGGTGATGAGAGGTGTTGGGTTTGCGCCAGACATAGCGTTTTCCTTGATGGCCAAAAAGCTCAATTTTAGTCTCATCTGACCAGAGTACCTTCTTCCATATGTTTGGGGAGTCTCCCACATGCCTTTTGGCGAACACCAAACGTGTTTGCTTATTTTTTTCTTTAAGTAATGGTTTTTGTTCTGGCCATGGAGTGTACGGCTTAAAGTGGTCCTATGGACAGATACTCCAATCTCCGCTGTGGAGCTTTGCAGCTCCTTCAGGGTTATCTTTGGTCTCTTTGTTGCCTCTCTGATTAATGCCCTCCTTGCCTGGTCTGTGAGTTTTGGTGGGCGGCCCTCTCTTGGCAGGTTTGTTGTGGTGCCATATTCTTTCAATTTTTTTATAATGGATTTAATGGTGCTCCGTGGGAAGTGATCTTCTGAGGACGGCTAATCAGCCGCGTCGATGATCCCCTGTGGGGTGATGAGAGCAGTTTAGTAGACGATGGCTTGAAGAGAGTAACAGGATGGTCCCACTTAAATTCACCTTCTTAGATACAGTACTTAGAACAGCTACTCAGCCATAACATTGATTGTTAGTGGAGGCAACTTTGTCGTCTTCACCTCGTGTTGATTTTCAGGGTCGGGACCAATATGGACAAAAGCTGCAGCTTGAGGTCCGTCTGATCTGATCATTCTTATCTCAATCTTTTATGCACTCTGGTAAAGAGGGGCATTTCCGTCATACTGACACGCTCTCTGAGCTCCCTCGGGCATGGCTAGTTACGAGGCAAAAGTATTATCATCACTATGATTTTATTAGAAAGCTAAAATCACATTCCTATCTTCACGAAAACATTGTCTTCCTCCTTGATATTTTCTACCCAAGGTAAAGGATGTAAGCCTGATATACACAGTGTAAACGCTCTTCAAGTCACAATGTTTTCATTATAACGCCTTGATACCATTTTGAATGGTATCACAAAATATACATACATTTTCCATATTCCATTTCTCATCATTCCCAATGTTTGGATGTTAAAATATATTGTCCCAATGTTCATTGTTGGATGTTGAAGTTTTTGAGCGACAAAAAGTATCTGAAACAAAGGCATTCCTTTCACCATACTAGAATGCTAGAGATAGATTCTCCTCCTCTCTAATTTATGGCAGTATTAACGTGTCAAGACCGGCACAGTCCCCCTGTGGGTAAGAGGGTCTGGTTATTGTCTGCCATTTGCCAAGCTGATGTGAGGCCTTTGATCCTCACCCAGGGAGAGTCATGACAGTGTTATTTCATAGTTTTGATATCTTCACTATTATTCTACAATGTAAAAATAAAGAAAAACCCTTGAATGAGTAGGTGTGTCCAAACTTTTTGACAGGTAGTGTATATGTAAAGACAATATTAAATCAAGAATAGTCTGATGGTTGACAATATTAGCCTATCATTAAAATTATAATATATTAGGCGTCACTATAGATCCGGGTTCGATCCCGGGCTGTGTCGCAGCCGGTCACAACCGGGAGTCCCATGAGGCGCCACACAATTTGCCCAGCGTCGTCCGGGTTAGGGGAGGGTTTGGCCGGCTGGGATGTCCTCGTCCCATTGCGCTCTAGCGACTCCTTGTGGTGGCCAGGTGCATGTACGCTGACTTTGATCGCCAGCTGTACGGTGTTTCCTCCGACACGTTGGTGCGGCTGGCTTCCGGGCAGTGTGGCAAGAAGCAGTGCGTCTTGGCGGGGTCGTGTTTCGGAGTTGCAGCGATAGGACAAGACTGTAACTACCAATTGGGGTGAAAAGTACCCCCCAAAACTTTAAGCACATTAATCCGCTTAACAGAGGGTGTAGAGCCTAACTGGCATACATACTTTTGAGTGTTCCCTGGGATATCAGCCCCCACTCTTCCCGGAGCAAGAAGAAGAGGTCAGCATACCTTCTGCCCAGATGTTCGTTTGTCGCTGTCGCCGTACCTGGAAGAGAGCCCGGGCCACTCTTCTCAAGACCACCTCCAGGTATCGACGACAGGCGGACCGCCATCGGACCCCTGCTCCCCGCTACCATCTTGGGCAGAGGCTATGGCTTTCCACTCGGGATCTGCCCCTCCGGTTGGAGTCCCACAAACATTCCCCCCGTTTTATCGGCCCTTTCCCCATCTCTAAGGTCCTTAGCCCCTCTGCTGTTCGCCTTCTTTTGCCCCGCATCCTCCGTATAAATCCCACTTTCCATGTATCTAGAATTATACCCCTGTCTCACAGCCCTTTGTCTCCTGTGCCGGCTCTATGCACACTCACTGGACTCTACCCACACACTTGAACATATTACACTGACACTCCAACAAACACACACGCGCGCACACTACATACGCTCACACACACAAAACACACACATGCATATTGACGCCACACACTCACACATAGACACCACACACTCACACATTCACACTCTTTCACACTCTACTCATACGCTGCTGCTACTCTGTTTATTATCTATCCTGATAGCCTAGTCACTTTTACCCGTAACTACATTAGGTAGTTGAGGTAAATATTACCTCAACTACCTCGTACCCCTGCACATTGACTCGGTGCCTGTAGTCCTTGTATATAGTCTCGTTATTGTTATCTTATTTAGTTACCATTTCATTTTTTGCTAATTTTTTAACTTTGCATTGTTGGGAAAGGGCTTGTAACTAAGCATTTCATGGTAAAGTCTACACTATGGAGTCTCTGACAGCACGGGCAGTGCCATTGAGGCTATCTCCAATTTAAAGTTGCATGCGCCATGCTCTACCAACTGAGCTACAGAGGACCGCCATGTGGGTAGTGGACAAGTCCACACTTCAGGTAAAAATGTAGAGTATTGAGATGCATAGCCAGCAAGAGCCCAAACATTGACATCTATTTGGCCAAAACATAGATGTCTATAATGTGCTATACTGTACTGTACTGTGCTATACTGTACTGTACCATACTGCAGGGGTTTTCAAACTGGGGTCCGTGGAGGTTCTGCAGGTGGTCCGCAATTTTGGGGGGATTTGTTTTATGTAAAAAAAAAAATATCGCTAGCTGCAGCAGAATACCTTTGTGGACACCATTTTTATGTCTCTGCGTCCAGTATGACGGAGGTAGTTAGAGGTAGTTTCCCACAACCAATGCTAACTAGTGTTAGCGCAATGACTGGAAGTCTACAGGAAACAGTTAGCATGCTAGCTGTTCCTGTACTGCTAGCTGTTCCTGTTCATCCAACTCTGGGGAAGTAGATAAAGGGCTTCATTGCCAAAATCTCGAACTAAAAACAGTTTGTGTCAACTTAAACGACCAAAACCAGATAGAAAGCATGCAGTAAAGATATTGAACTATATATATTTTTTAATAATACCATCTTGAGAACTAACAATCAAATAAAAGCTAGACAGTCATGGAGAATTGGAAATTCCAAAAAAACAGTCATTCAGGGCACATGCCCATTTGATTTTGTTAAAATGTTTGAGCAGAGGAACACAGCATTAGCTAAATGCATAGAATTGCAGGAAATGTGCTTTAAAACAAAAAACATTGTCTCTCAGCTCCATGCCAAACTGTGTAGAATTGCAGAAAGTTAGCTTTACAAAAGCAACATTTTCTTTAGGCTGCCAAGATACCTTTCTAGCTAATAGACTATGTTAGAGTTTACACTTCCTCTTCCAATGAACTGTGCGGAGGTCAAAAAAATTAAACTGTCTACCAAATCTATTCATTTAAAAATGTTGATTACTTCTACTTGCCATTATCATTATTATTTTTTTGCTAACATATGATGGGGGTCCCTGGGTTGCCGGTTTGCCTGGGTGGGGGTCCCTGGGCAAGAAAAGTTTGAAAACCCCTTCCCTACTGTACTGTACTCTACTGTACTGTGCTTTACTGTACTGTACTGTACTCAAATTTACTCTTACAATTGAAGAAAGGACCCATGGACTCTTGATCTAGTGGTCTTCAAATTCGGTCTTTCTCAACTCACTGGGCCTGGGTCTGGATCTTTGGACCAATGTCCTGTATAAATCTTGATCTTGGCCCCTGAATATAGCATTAGTCTTTGGTTTACAAACCATAGGCAACCCAATTTGAAGAAGACAATGCTCTCTGATTATTGGCTGATCACTCCCAACCCAAAGGAATCCCCACTCAGTTGACTACTTTTAAATAGTGGAAGCCCTCAATGGCCCTCAATGGCAATGTCTTATTTCCATATAGAGTCCTATTTATCTCTACAATTGACACTTGACACCGAAACGCCTGTTATTTTGGCAGAGTAAGGATAGGTAAAGTGATAATTTAAACATCTAACAACATAATAGAATGTATGCATAAGTAAATGTATGCCTAAGTAATACAATCAACAAGTTTCAGATTCATACAATCAACATTGAACATTTTATAGAGAACAATAGAGATTATATTTATCTAAATTAAATATTAAAGTTTTGAAAATCAGGCTAAAAAACATGTTTTTATTATTTTGTTAATTTGGTATGCAAATACATTTAAAAAATGAAAGATTTGAGGTGACAGACAGTGACACATGGACAGACAATGACACATTCAATACCGCCTTGCACACAATTGCCTGCATCTAGCTGATCTAGGGTGTAGTCATTAGTACAGCAGTTGCAAACGACAATTTCTATTGGACAAATTCAGGTATGGTTATCCCCGGTTTGTTCTGTTTGCTTCCGTTTATGAAACGTTTTTCAACAGAATCAGTGGTATGAATACACCCCTGATCACGCGTAAACACAGTTCACTTTCATAGCAGCCACGTTGTATTTCTTCTCACTCATTCAATCTATGCACTCTCCTCCTCTCACCTTTTCCGTTCGTTTGTGGACTTCAATGCACACAACACATCAGCTGTAAGCTGACCAGGCGAAAAAACCTACACAGCCTACATCGTTGTCACCATATTAGCTAAAGTAACGTCATAGCTAATAGAACTAACGCGTTAGTAAACCCACTACAATCATGCAGTAACGTTACAGTGTATAGTCAGTAAGCAGTTTAGCAGTTAAACTGGCGGGCCCCGGTGGCAATAAATTAGTAAAACCAAAAGCTTACCTTGACTTGGAAGAGTGCCAGTGTTGTGTTTGATAGTCATAGCCAGCTAGCTAACATAGCATGTTTGAGCAGGGTGTTTGAGTAGGCTAAACTAGTTGGCTGCATTTGTGAAAACTGAAAGTGAAAGTGAAAAAAAATGACACTCTTGCTTCTCCTTCATTTTTGAAGAAATTAATTTGTTCAAAACTGTTCAACTATTGTCTTTCTCTCTCTTTGAGTCAACTACTCACCACATTTTATGCACTGCAGTGCTAGCTAGCTGTAGCTTATGCTTTCAGTACTAGATTCATTCTCTGATCCTTTGATTGGGTGGACAACATGTCAGTTCATGCTGCAAGAGCTCTAATAGGTTGGAGGACGTCCTCTGGAAGTTGTCATAATTACTGTGTAAGTCTATGGAAGGGGGTGAGAACCATGAGCCTCCTAGGTTTTATATTGAAGTCAATGTACCCAGAGTAGGATGGAAGCTAGCTGTCCTCCGGCTACACCATGGTGCTACCCTACAGAGTTCTGTTGAGGCTACTGTAGACCTTCGTTGCAAAACAGTGTGTTTTAATCAATTATTTGGTGACGTGAATATATTTAGTATAGTTTAAAAAATTTTATTTTTATAAAATTCACTGAGGATGGTCCTCCCCTTCCTCCTCTGAGGAGCCTCCACTGACCTGCATACACACTTCTATACACACCTACACACACACTCATACACACACATAGCATACACTCGTGTGTATGTCTGTGAGCGTACATGGGTGTGTGTGTGTGTATGTGTATACGTGTGTGTGTCCATCTGTTTGTTTGTGTGTGCATGCACGTGTGCGTACGTCCGTGTGTGCGTATACCTGTGTATATACGTGTGTGTGTGTGTGTGTATCCAGGTGCGTATGGCCCTGAAGAAGGCAGAGCGGGAGCTGGAGTCTCGGGCCTGCTGGTCTCCCCCTGAGGCCCTTAAGACATGGCTGCAGCTGACCCACGAGATAGAGGTCCAGTACTACAACATCAAGAAACAGAGCGCTGAGAAACAACTACTGCAGGCCAAAGAGGGGGTGAGACACACACATACATACAGAAACATTCACATACACAGAAACACACACACACAAACCTGGTGAGAAAGTTGATGTTGGTGGTTTTGTGAATTATGATGATGGTGGTGATGATGATGATGATGGTGATGATGATGATGATGATGGTGGTGATGATGATGGTGATGATGTAGGCTGACAAGATCAAGAAAAAGAGGAGCACTCTGTTTGGGACATTCCATGTGGCGCATAGCTCCTCCCTGGACGACGTTGATCACAAGATCCTGACTGCCAAGTAAGTTCAGCCAACTGACTTTACTTTGTTCAGCCAACTGACTTTACAAACTGACTTCACCTTTTTCAGCCAACTGACTTTACTTTGTTCTGCCAACTGACGTTACCTTTTTCAGCCAGATGACTTTACTTTGTTCAGCCAACTGACTTTAAATTGTTCAACCAACAGACTTTACTTTGCTCAGCTAACAGACTTGACCTTGTTCAGCCAACTGATTTTACCTTGTTCAGCCAACTGATGTTCTATAGAAGGGAAAAGCACATCTTAGTTAGCGAGGTGCAGGCCGGCAGAACAAAACGATTCATAAAAAGACGGTAGCCGCACACGCTTACATTTTAGAATTCAGTCAACCAATGTTTTGACAGCAAGCTGCCTCCATAAAAGTTTCTGAGTTCCAGCCAAGTGACTTTACCTTGTTGGGTTACACACCTGTACTTGAGGCTCTCTCCATTTCACTCTCTGCCCCTTACTCTGTCTTCTCTCTCTCCTCTTGTCTGTCACCCTCCCCCCGCCCCCTCCCCTCTCTAGGCAGGCTCTGGGTGAGGTGACGGCTGCACTGAGGGAGAAGCTTCACCGCTGGCAGCAGTTGGAGTCTCTTACAGGCTTACCATTGGTCAATAACCCCGGTCTGCCCGCCCTGGCCAACGCCCTCAACCTAGACCCCGCCTTCCTGGGCCTGCACCCGCCCACCCCGCAGCACCTAATCCTATCAGACGATTTAGATGACATGGGCGAGGATATCCTGTCCCCAGGGACGCTGCGGTGTACGTGTCATCACTTTGCGCCACTCCGCCCACCGACACAACATCACTCTGTATCATATTGCGTATTAGTGGCTCCGGGATGAAGTTTCCCCGTGGTACAGATCGAGGATCAGCTTCCCCTCCCTCAATCCTAACCTTAACTATTAGTGTGGAAAATGCAAAACTGTCCCAAGATCAGCGTCTAGGGGCAACTTCACCCTATACTGAATTAGTGTTGCTGGCTGTGAAAGTGCAATACAACCACCCTCCTGTCCTGTCCTGTATGTGTACAGAGTTGATTGTATCAATCATCTCACACCTGTACACAGACAGTACAGAAGAGCAGACACACGTCTCACCTTCTAATTTAGTTTGTCCAAAAAACACCTCTTCCTGAACAAGTGATTTGTATCTGTCTGATGTGACGGATTGTTGATTTGTACTGGTGATTTGCTGTGCCAGGTCAATGGCATCCTATCTTCTCTCCACTCTGCCTCCTTATTGGATGATCTCCTCATATTCTGTGTCCTGATTGGTTGGTTTCCTCACATTCATCATCTGTACCGTGATTGGCTATCCTCAGACGCGGCCTGGCAGATGGACCGGCGAGTGAGTGACCTCTGGCCAATGAGCGGCATCTCCGACAGCCAATCCCCATGGAAGTATTCTGGTTGGGCCCACCCTCCTTTACTCTCCTTGCAATCCTAACCAAGCACTACCTCTGTACCCTCCCAACCCCCCTTTTCTCTTTCTTTCCTCTGTGGATTCTCCCACACAGACTATTCCACTACCTGTGGAATAGTCCACTGCCTCTCAGGAGTAGGGGGGTTGATCTTATCTTGTGGAGAAGCGACAAGAATTTGCTACTTTATATCCGCTTATCACATGCCCTCTCTCTTTCTCTCCTTCCCTCTCTCTTTCTCTCCTTCTCTCTCCCCCTATCTCTCTACACATCAGACATTCTGTCCACCTGGAAGACTCTTGTTACTCCTTTTTCACTCTTCCTTCAGAAAGGAGTACTTATTATTTATCCTCCTCTCCTGTCCTCCCTCTGTTGCTGACTAACCTCCACTTGCAGGTCTACAGCTTTTCTGTCCCTCCACATATTCTGGCTGGTACACCAAGATATTTGCACATTGGGTTTTCTGTCAGAACACTTTATTTTCTCAGAACATACAAAAGCCTGATAAAATAAGATTTCTAGCATGTCTGTCACTTCATATATACACTGAGTTTACAAAACATTAGGAATACCTTACTAATATTGAGTTGCACCCCATTTGCCCTCAGAACTGCCTCAATTTGATGGCGCTGGAACTCTCCAAGGTGTCGAAAGCGTTCCACAGGGATGCTGGCCCATTTTGACTCCAATGCTTTCCACAGTTGTGTCAAGTTGCCTGGATGTCCTTTGGGTGATGGACCATTCTTGATACACACAGGAAATTGTTGAGCGTGAAAAACCCAGCAGTGTTGCAGTTCTTGACACACTCAAACTGGTGCGCCTGGCACCTACTACCATACCCCGTTCAAAGGCACTTAAATATTTTGTCTTGCCCATTCACCCACTGAATGGCACACACACAAACCATGTCTCAATTGTCTCAAGGTTTAAAAATCCATCTTTAACCTGATTGGTGGATTTAACAAGTGACATCAAAAAGGGATCATAGCTTTCACCTGGATTAACCTGGTTAATCAATGTCATGGAAAGAACAGGTGTTCCGAATGTTGTACACTCAGTGTATATACAGTATCTGTGCCGAAACTCTCATACTACAACAGACTTCCCATTTTAAAATGAAATCAAAATGAGTTTAATTCAAATCAAATCAAATCAAATTTTATTTGCCACACGCGCCGAATACAACAGGTGTAGACATTACCGTGAAATGCTTACTTACAGCCCTTAACCAACAATGCATTTATAAAATAAATCAACAACAACAAAAAAGTGTTGAGAAAAAAAGAGCAGAAGTAAAATAAAATAACAGTAGGGAGGCTATAGACAGGGGGGTACCGGTGCAGAGTCAATGTGAGGGGGCACCGGCTAGTTGAGGCAATATGTACATGTGGGTAGAGTTAAAGTGACTATGCATAAATAATTAACAGAGTAGCAGCAGCGTAAAAAGATGGGGTGGGGGTGGGGGGGCAGTGCAAATAGTCCAGGAGTCTTATGGCTTGGGGGGTAGAAGCTGTTGAGAAGCCTTTTGGACCTACACTTGGCGCTCCGGTACCGCTTGCCGTGCAGTAGCAGAGAGAACAGTCTATGACTAGGGTGGCTGGAGTCTTTGACAATTTTGAGGGCCTTCCTCTGACACCATTGCTGCATTTTCAATGTACATTATATTAATAACTTTTTTTTAAAGAATATAAACTATTGGAACCAAGACTTAAAAGGAACTAGAGGGTGGGACTAAAAACAACAAGATAACTAATGTAAAATATACTGTGTCCGTAAAATGTACACTACCGGTCAAAGGTTTTAGAACACCTACTGATTCAAGGGTTTTTCTTTATTTTTACTATTTTCTACATTATATATTTGAGATTCTTCAAATAGCCACCCTTTGCCTTGATGACCGCTTTGCACACTCTTGGCATTCTCTCAACCAGCTTCATGAGGTAGTCACCTGGAATGCATTTCAATTAACAGGTGTGCCTTCTTAAAAGTTAATTTGTGGAATTGATTTCCTTCTTAATGTGTTTGAGCCAATCAGTTGTGTTGTGACAAGGTAGGGAGGGTATACAGAAGATAGCCCTATTTGGTAAAATACCAAGTCCATATTATGGCAAGAACAGCTCAAATAAGCAAAGACAAACGACAGTCCATCATTACTTTAAGACATGAAGGTCAGTCAATGCGGAACATTTCAAGAACTGAACGTTTCTTCAAGTGCAGTCGCAAAAACCATCAAGCGCTATGATAAAACTGGCTCTCATGAGGACCGCCAAAGGAATGGAAGACCCAGAGTTACCTCTGCTGTAGAGGATAAGTTCATTAGAGTTTTCCAGGCTCAGAAATTGCAGCCCAAATAAATGCTTCACAGAGTTCAAGTAACAGACACATCTCAACATCAACTGTTCAGAGGAGACTGTGTGAATCAGGCCTTCATGGTCGAATTGCCTCAAAGAAACCACTACTAAAGGACACCAATAATAAGAAGAGACCTGCTTGGGCCAAGAAACACAAGCAATGGACATTAGACTGGTGGAAATGTGTCCTTTGGTCTGGAGTCCAAATTTGAGATTTTTGGTTCCAACCGCCGTGTCTTTGTGAGACGCGGTATAGGTGAACGGATGATCTCCGCATGTGTATTTCCCACCATAAAGCATGGAGGAGGAGGTGTTATGGTTTGGGGGTGCTTTTCTGGTGACACTGTCTGTGATTTATTTAGAATTCAAGGCACACTTAACCATCATGGCTACCACAGCATTCTGCATCGATATGCCATCCCATTTGGTTTGGGCTTAGTGGGACTATCATTTATTTTTCAACAGGACAATGACCCAACACACCTCCAGGCTGTGTAAGGGCTATTTCACCAAGAAGGAGAGTGATGAAGTGCTGCATCAGATGACCTGGCCTCCACAAGCCCCCGACCTCAACCAAATTGAGATGGTTTGGGATGAGTTGGACCGCAGAGTGAAGGAAAAGCAGCCAACAAGTGCTCAGCATATGTGGGAACTCCTTCAAGACTGTTGGAAAAGCATTCCAGGTGAAGCTGGTTGAGAGAATGCCAAGAGTTTGCAAAGCTGTCATCAAGGCAAAGGGTGGCTATTTGAAGAATCTCAAAAATAAAATATATTTAGATTTGTTTAACACTTCTTTAGTTACTACATGATTCCAAATGTGTTATTTCATAGTTTTGATGTCTTCACTATTATTCTACAATGTAGAAAATAGTAAAAATAAAGAAAAACCCTTGAATGAGTAGGTGTGTCCAAACTTTTGACTGGTACTGTATATACTGTATTTACAAAAAAAATATATGGGGAATTGGAAATGATGCAGACAATGACATTGATGGAAGCTACAATCTATCTGCAATATTAAAGCTGATCTACCCCCTAAAAAATAAATAAATAAATAAAAAATACTTAAAAGGAACTGTTGGAGCATAACTAACGAAATTACCGTTAAAGGAAATGTACGCTTAATCCAATATAAACAAATGTATAGAATTCATTATACAAGAGACATAATTCACAAATTCTACAGCACAATGACAGAGTCATGTCTTAAGTGTAAAACGAATATTGACTCAATAATCCATGCTTTCTGGGAATGCTATAAAGTCCAAAAGTTATGGGCGGAGCTAGAAAGTTGTCTGTCAGAAGTACAATGTAAATGTACTTTTAATCCGTCTGTCTGCATATTTCAAGACATGGCATATGGGGGTGTAGTGAGATACCCAATGGGAAAAAACGTATACTAAAACATGGAAATCAATCAATCCGCCATCATTGGAAAAATTTTATGATTTATTATTGAAATATTGAAATAGCATGGTTGACCGAGGAACACTAATTGGTGCAATTTAAGGCCAAGTGGCAAACAATAATGCAGGCACTAGGGATGGGGGTGTGAGCATGCGGGTCTGGACAGATGAGATGTAGTCGTTTGTGTGCGTCTGTAAGTTGTTGTTCGTATGTATAAGGCTGTATTTGGAAAAAATTAGCAAACATTACTGTAAACATACATGGGACTCTGTCTGCTAAGGACTTTTGTATTTTTCCAACGGTGCAGTTGAGTCTGGCCCTGCACACTCCCACCTCCAGTCTCAGCTTCATTATGCCTAAACACTCCCAGGCTTTATCAGTACAGTATCATACCCTTAAATCACATCCCTCTCTGTGGAGGATAATACTGTATTTGCGTATCATTGTGCAATAAGGATGTGTGTGCATGTGTGTCTGCAGTATACAGTGTATAACGTTTTTGTGTTCCTTCCCTCCTTAAGCTCCCAACCTGATGCCCCTGCGACAGCGGCCGGGAGACCCCTCGCTGGCCCTGGGCTTTCAGAGGTTGGTAGAGGGGCTGGGCTCACCCGGAGGTCCTCAGGGCAAGCGGTTTTGCAGCCACTCCATTGGCCAGCTGGAGTTCCTTCCTATGCATTCTCTCTCTTCCGCCCTCCCTCTCCCATCCCTCCCCACTCGCTGTCTGTTTTTCCACTCTGCTCTTCCGCTCCTCCTATTTCCAGTCTCTGGAGGCTTTTTCTGATCTCCCACCCACAGGGGGCGCTACAGCCAGTCCACAACGCTCTGGTAGCTTTGGGTACACACACAAACACAGCCAGCAGCTTTGTGTACACACACACACACACACACACACACACACACACTCACAGCCAGACCCCAACACTCAGACTCCTGCAGCTTTGGGTACCCATCTCTCTCAGCATGGCGACACGCTCAAGCATAGAGTAACACACACACCCAGTCATGCAAGCACACATACACACACACACACACACACACACACACACACACTCAGCATGACTTGGATGAGCTGACCTGGCTTGACCCATGCATGTTTCTCATATATGTCTCTTTTATGAGATTTTGTAGTTGCATTATCATATGCATTATATTTTTACATTTTAGTCATTTAGCAGACACTCTTATCCAGACCGACTTCCCTTCTTCTCTTTATTCTCCCCTCTCCATTCCTTACCTTGCCCGTCTCCCTTTACCCCCCCCCCTCCCTCACCCCTCTCCCTTTACCTCCCCCTCCCTCACCCCTCTCTCTTTACCTCCCCCCTCCCTCCCTCACCCTCTCCCTTTACCTCCCCCTCCCTCACCCCTCTCCCTTTACCTCCCCCTCCCTCACCCCTCTCCCTTTACTTCCCCCTCCCTCACCCCTCTCTCTTTACCTCCCCCCTCCCTCACCTATTTACATTTGACATTTTAGTCATTTAGCAGACGCTCTTATCCAGAGCGACTTACAGTTAGTGAGTGCATACATTTCATACTTTTTTCATACCTATCTTCCTTTACCTAACTCAGGGATGGGCAACTTTGATGGGGGTGGGGCCCAAATAAATCTGAACTGATTATGAGGGGCTGCAGTGGTCTGCGTACCCACATCCATACCCAAACATGCAGCCAGAGCTGGACCTAGCCTTTTGGTGGCCCTAAGCTAAATGTTTTACATTTTGGAAATTGATCCGCAGGCCTGCAAAAGTTGCCCATCCCTGACCTAACTCATCCCTCACCCCTCTCCATTTAACTACCCCATCCCTCACCCCTCTCCATTTAACTACCCCATCCCTCACCCCTCTCCATCCCCTAATCCAGTATGTGCTCCCCCCGCTAACTGCATTTATCTGTAGATCTAGTTTCTAGAGTAAAGATCTGATTTCAATTTGCTGCTTTTTATAAGCTTGTTTTTACTGACAATGTTTTATGTATCTTATCAGCCTCTCTCTCTCTCCCTCTCTCGCTCTGTCTCTCCCTCTCTCTCTTGCTCTTCTCTCCATCCCTCAGGGATCTGAACCGGTCTGACTCAGACTCCTCCCTCTTCCTGTCCCAGAGCGAATCACAGCGCACCTATATATCTAAGCCCCTCCCCCTCCCATCAAAGCCCCTCCCCCAGCAGGGCCACAGCTCCAATGGGAGCAGGGCTCGCATCGACAGCCCCCTGATGATGTCATATGGCCTGGAGAAGAGCTCCAGTCTCGGGGAGCTCCGCGGCGGAGGAAGTCCCACCCTCGCCCCTGCTTACTCCACACACTCCCTATGCCCCGCCTCCTTTAACCCTGATGCGCAGTCGGGGAAGGGGGACAGCCGTATCCCCAACATGCAGGCCAAGAAGAGCCCCCTGGAAGAGGACAGCTGTTCCACGGGCGAAGAGATCGACTCGGCCAACGGGCGCAAGAAACACACCTTCACAATCTTCAAGAAGAGGAAGTAGACGTAAAATCACTCCGTCCTCACAGAGGAAGAGCTACGTTCCCATCGTTCACACTATAGGCTAGCATACCACTTCGAATGCATGCCCAATACACTGGTTTATTCTAAGGGGTCTACAACTAGTATGGATATTAGAACATGGCCATGGACTAAGAAGAAATAAGTGACATGGTCTAAAGACATAAATAAATTACATGAATGAAAAAAAAAAAAAAGTTTCATAGAGTAAAGAAAAAAAAAAAAGTTACATGGATAAAAAATTTAAAATAATATGTTTCATAGACTAAAGAAAAATAAATAAGTTACATGGACTAAAGAAGACCAAGTTAAATGACATTTACATGGACACAATTCTCACTGCAAAGCTTCACTCATCTGTTGCCTTACAGGAGGTGTCTCTCTCTGGACATACCAGTTCAAATAGACAGACAGACTCCCAGTCTTTTCTAATAGCTCTTTGCTTTTTATACAGCATTACCGCTGTAGCTTAAAAACAGAGTAGGCCAAGCCTTGAAGAAATGTTTTAAGCTTTAAATGCGACTGCAGCAATAATTAAAATATTGTTTATAAAGTATTTACAATTATAATGCGATTAAGATGTTTGTGACCATACAGGCCAGCAAGGTTTTATTTGATATTAATTTTGTAATTTCTCAATTTAAGGGTACTTAAGTGTTTTTTGTTGTTTTTAAGGGGGTCTGGTACTAGGTACTTTACTTTTCCGGGGGCTGTGGGTACAGATAGATCACATATATTCAATATTTATATATTTGAATGGAGTTGATTTATATTTATTTAGCATGGGTGTGGATAAGGATTGGAGTAATGGTGAATGTTAAACATAATGGGGAGTGAATTCCTGGAAACAGATTAAGCTTAGTCCTGGATTGAAGAGCTTGTTCAATGTCCATTGAAAGTGTTTTTTAGTCCAAGCTTAGGCTCAATCCATGTCTGGGAAACCGGCCCAATGTATCCTGCAACAGATGTATAAAACAGATTCAACCCACTTTGAAAAACGTCTTCTTCGCAATAGGCACACCACGTCATTTCAATGTGGATAATTGGTTAATATTTGGTTGAGACGTTGATCAATGAGATTACAACCTATATTCACCCACTCAAAAAGACAGCCAAAAGTTAGTTGAATGTCCAATGTGTTATCACTATGCTTTCAACCATTTAAAAGCACAACCAAATTCCAATGGACAGATAATGTCCGATTTTTTTGTTAAGTTGTCACCCAAATGTTTATCACAGCGCTTTCAACCATTTCAAAGCACAGCAAAATTCAAATGGCAATACAATGTCAGATATTTGTTTATTTATACGACAGATTAATGTGTTGTCACTGTGCTTTATCTAATAGCAGAACCAAATGACCTGGATTGTAGTTGAGATTACATTAAAAGTACAGTGCAAGTGAACAATGCCGTTTGAGATTCTGCGCAGATTATTACAGCAATCTCCACAGACCTGTTACAACCTGTGCATGCTACGAACATGCACACTTTATATGATTACATAAGAAGACATTTATTGTTACAGTAACCTCAACATGTGGCCATGGATGTTACTCATTTTAAGGTTGAATGTTACATTAGTTTGTAAGATAGCCTTAACTTTAGGCTATTTGGTAATGCAACCAACATCAACATAGGATAGTTTCATCTGAGTCACTGGTTTAATCTCATTCTTTAACTTTTATTTTTGGGTGAGTTGGAGACGTGAATCCAACATACTCTATATACAAAAGTATGTGCACAGCCCTTCAAATGAGTTAATTTGGCTATTTCAGCCACACCGTTGCTGACAGGTGTATAAAATCGAGCACACAGCCATGCAATCTCTATTGACAAACATTGGCAGTAGAATGGCCTTACTGAAGAGCTCAGTGACTTTCAACGTGGCACCGTCATAGGATGCCACCTTTCCAACAAGTCAGTTTGTCAAATTTCTGCCCTGCTAGAGCTGCCACGGTCAACTGTAAGTGCTGTTATTGTGAAGTTGAAACGTCTAGGAGCAACAACGGCTCAGCCGCAAAGTGGTAGGCCACACAAGCTCGCAGAACGGGACCGCTGAGTGCTGAAGCGCGTAGCGCGTAAAAATAGTCTGTACTCGATTACAACACTCACTACCGAGTTCCAAACTGCCTCTGGAAGCAACGTCAGCACAATAACTGTTAGTCTGGAGCTGGAAATGGTTTTCCATGGCCGAGCAGCTGCACGCAAGCCTAAGATCACCATGCGCAATGCCAAGCGTCGGCTGGAGTGGTGTAAGGCTCGCCGCCATTGGACTCTGGAGCAGTGGAAACGCGTTCTCTGGAGTGATGAATCACGCTTCACCATCTGGCAGTCCGACGGACGAGTCTGGGTTTGGCGGATGCAAGGAGAATGCTACCTGCCCCAATGCATAGTGCCAACTGTAAAGTTTGGTGGAGGAGGAATAATAATCTGGGGTTATTTTCCATGGTTCGGGCTAGGCCCCTTAGTTCCAGTGAAGGGAAATCTTAACGCTATAGCATAGAATGACATTCTAGATTATTCTGTGCTTCCAACTTTGTGGCAACAGTTTGGGGAAGGCCCTTTGCTGTTTCAGCATGACAATACCCCTGTGCACAAAGCGAGGTCCATACAGAAAGCCCCGACCTCACTAATGCTCTTGTGGCTGAATGGAAGCAAGTCCCCGCAGCAATGTTCCAACATCTAGTGGAAACTCTTCCCAGAAGAGTGGAGGCTGTTATAGCAGCAAAGGGGGGACCAACTCCATATGAATGCCTATGATTTAGGAATGAGATGTTCGACAAGCAGGTGTCCACATACTTTTGGTCATGTAGTGTATAATAGGCTATTTATTGTATTTCAAAAGTGATATTGAATTGTTTGGTTTTCAAGGCAACCAAAATATCAAAACTTGAAGGAGATGGATCTTCTGCTTGGATAGTTCCATCTGTGCCACGGACTTAGTCTGGCTTTAATTCCAGTTTGTCTACAAATGAATAAGTGTTATGTTGGATTCACGTCTCCATCTCAACCCAAAATCTAAGTTAAAGAATAGGAGTAAATCTAATCAAACTTTAAATGCATTTTAAATAAAGTTTTATTTGATTTAGTCCTATTCCAAGCAGAAGACAACCAAACACAATTCAATATCACTGAATATAATTACATTTGAAATCAACCAGAGCTTGAAACCCTAGGCCTATCTATTGTCTATGTTTAGTCAAATCCTGAAACAATAGCTGTTGATGACATTGCAAATGCTACAGTATATAGGCCTAAATAGCATCATTGATGAAAGATAAGTGTTAAAGTACGGTCACATTTCATTTGCTCTGTTAAACCTACCCTTTGGAATTACTTTGATAGCATCAGTGAATCTATTTCATTTTTAAGTGGAGATCTCAATAGTTATTCTCATGATAGCACATTGATAATAGTCTGTGATAAATATCATAGCTAAGCAGAGTTGGGTTAAGTCCCTGGATGGGAGACTGAAGGGTAGCTGTAGATGGATCAATTCTCCATTAGGAGGTGCTGCTAAGCCTGTTGTTTTTTCTGATCGTTGAAGATCTGACGTTGTTTTAAAGGTACAAATTCAACATATTTTTACAAGATTTGTCTATGCTGATGACATAATCCTGTGGTTGAGTACAGTTGATAATTTGTTCAAATTCGACGTCACAATACGTTGACAAATTACATTGAAACAAAGTTGATTCAACCAGTTTGATTCCACCTGTAAATAAAGATGTGATTCAAGGTTTGTAACAAATATACCCGCTCTCTCACACACACACACACACACACACACACACAGTGTTTACTCTGTTTCAGTATAGTTATTGTATGTATGTTATTGAGTGTATCATGACTTGGCTTTTCATCTAACTTACTGTCTGTCAGTGTTTCATACCTTTACCTTGGAAAGAGCAGAGCTTGTGTGTGTGTGTGCGTGGTGCGTGAGTGTGTCACTTTAAACCAGCTTTGCATCGTCTGTGTAACTGAGATCACGCCACAACGCATGACAAAAGTAAACCAGTTTCATTAAACAAAAGTGTTTGTGATTTTTGATGAGGGAATAATCAGCACTATGAAGACAGTTTGTTTTCCTCTTGTTTTGCAAATAAAATAAATATAAAGCTCTGATTGTGTCATTCACTTGTTAAGGAGGATATGATTATGAACAGACGGATAGGCATCTTGTCTTACCTCCTTTAACTCTGGCTGTGTGACTGGGTATGTGTCCTATTCCACATATAGTGCACTACTTTTGTGGTATTCTATAGGGAATAGGGCACAGCCACAGGAATTAGGAGTGCCCTTTCTGACACCCAGATTTTGTAGAGCAAGTCACTACTTTGATGTTTGCAGAGAAAAACAGGGTGCCAAGGTTCTTTGCACTCTGGGAGGGGGACACCGTGAAGTTGTCAACCGTGATGGAGATGTCTTGTCGAGGTTGAGCTTGTGGGCGGACATCCAAGCTGAGATATCTGCCAGGCAAACAGAGATGCGTGTCACCACCTGGGTATCAGAAAGGAGGAAGGAGAAAAAGTATTTGCGTGTCATCCGCATAGCAATGATAGGAGAGACCATATGAGGATATGACGGAGCCGAGTGACTTGGTGTATAGAGAGAAGAGGAGAGGGCCTAGAACCGAGCCCTGGGGGACACCAGTAGTGAGAGTACGTAGTGCAGACACAGATCCTCTCCACATCACCTGGTAGGAGCAGCCTGCCAGGTAGCAGGCAATCCAAGAGTGTGCAGAGCCTGAGACACCCAGTCCTGAGAGGGTGGAGAGGAGGATCTTATGGTTCACGGTGTAGAAGGCACCGGACAGATCGAGGAGGATGAGAACAGAGGAGTTATCGGCAAAGACACAAAACATCCACATCAAATTAAATATTTTTCTTGATCAAATAACATGGAAAACAACCACTTTTTGTGCAGTATTAATTTACCATCCTTACAAACCACTTAATGTAAATGTACATCACTGTATTGC